GGCACTCGGCACTTGGCACTTGGTTGATGGGTGTACTGGGTGTCGAGTTTTGGGTTTCAGGTACTCGACACTCAGTGATTTGTGCAATGAGTGAAATATGGATATGTTGTAATATTTTTGGGTTTCAGGCTTTGTGTTTGGGCTTCAGACATTGGACATCAGCACTCGGCACTCAGCACTTGGTGATTTGTGTACCGGGTGTCGAGTTTCGGGTTTTGGTACTCAACACTTGGTGATTGGTGCAGTGAGGGAAATATGGATATGTTGTATACATATTTTCGGGTTTTGGGCTTTGGACATTGGGCTTCAGGCCTCGGCACTCGGCATTCAATGATTTGTTTAATGTAAATGAAAAATGAGCATGTTGCATACCAGGTTTCAAGTTTTGGGTTTTGGCACTCAACACTTGGTGATTTGTGCAATGACTGAAAAATGGATATGTTATATTCATGTTTTCGGGTTTTGAACATCGGGTTTTGGGCCTTGGACTTTGGGGTTCGGCTCTCAGCACTCGGTACTTGGTGATTTGTGTACTGGGTCTCGAGTTTCAGATTTCGGCACTTGACACTCAGTGATTTGTGCAATGAATGAAAATGGACATTTTGCATACATGTTTTTGGGTTCTGGGCTTCAGATTTTGGGTCTCAGGCTTCAGGTTTATCAGCACTCGGCACTTGGTAATTTGATAAATGGACTTTCAAGCTTCAGGCTTTGGGTGTTCAGGTGTTCATGTGTTTGGTGTCAGGAAATAGACATTTCACACATTTTCACAAGTTTCCAGTTTCCAGTCTCGAGCTTGGGATGTTCAGGTGTCCGGAATGGATGTTGCACAATGGGATTCGGTTTTTGGGCATCTTGGACTTGGTAATCCGTGAATGTCAGACAGATATCTCACTACCTCGGCCCACCCATCTATATAACATCCCCCTCCATTGGCCAACCCATCTATATAACATCCCCCTCCATTGGCCCACCCGTCTATATAATGAATATTCCACCACTCCCTCGGCCCATCTGTCTACAAAATAATTCCAGTATGTCGGCCCACCTGTCTATATAATACATATTCCACCACTCCCTCGGCCCACCCATGTACAAAATACTTCCTGTACATCGGCCCACCCATCTATACAATAAACCATTACATCGGCCCACCCGACATCTTCAAGGATATGTATAATATCAGCATAGATGGGCCCACCCGTCTCCATCGGAAATAATATCCCTCCCGGCCCATCCGTCAACATCGGGGATATACATAACATCAGCCCATAGTCCGCTGGCCCATCTTATACGGGATATTATGTAGGTCGGGTGACCCGTATAATACAGAAATATGCCACTGTAATATGTGCATCTTGCCTCATCTCTCTTTAGTCTCGTTCACTTGTTCATCTTTCACTCTTGCTTGCGCTCGTTAACTTCGCGTTGTGCACCTCACCCTTTGCATTTCACACTCGCGCATCCGCCCATCGTTTATCACATCGCTCTCGCCTCACGCTTTGCGTGTCTATTAGTTTTATTACTCTATTAGTAATTTGGTGTCCCTCTTTTTACAAGAGAGGTTTCCCTTTATCCAGTTAGCTGCCCTTGGGTTGACGTTTTCACTCGCTCCTGGGTCTAGCTGTGTTTGCTTAGCTTAGCACCAACTTTAACCACAGTTTAGATTCCTCATCTTCGACGTGATTCACATGAACATGATATAGTACATTGTGGTATAAACTTGTTCAAAAACTCACTTCAGTTTTTGGCGAAGTGTCTTCCTTGATGGAGAAATGCTGCGCAGAAACTATTGCCATTTACCTCGAGTTGTGGAGAGTTGTCTTGTGAAGGTATATAATTACAAAAGCCATGTTGCATTCAGTCACAAGCAATCCAACTATCCTAAATATTTTTGGTGTGAGTCCTTCCTTCACACTGTGTGTACTACTTAGCTCTAATCACAGTATAACAAGAAGAACATTTGCAATGATATTGATTATATCAACTTCTTGCTAATGGCATGTGTAGATCTATGAGCTCTTGAGATTGATGACCCTGTCACACAAAAACACAGCCAGGCACACATGTAAGCCTGGTGAGCTTTACAGCTTCCATATTAGATGTGCTCACCATCTGACTGTCTTGGCAATTAGTCTTGGCATCACCCAGTGCATACTATGTTGGACCATAGGTATGATAGCTGATGTCTGGAGTGTTTACATGAAATGCAGGTTACCTCAAAGTCTATAAGGCCATGTCTCACTTATTGCACAAAGTGTCAAATACACTAATCTCACAAAGTGCCTATGTTGCATTTTAATTCAGTCTTGTAGGTTGTGTATAATCAGAGGTTGAAGTATGTAAATATCAATGTAATTGTAATTTGTTAATATAACACAATATTGGTCATTTCTGTGACATTGTAACTATGAATCAACAAGGTGTTGTGTTGCATGAATGTGTAAATCATTACCTATCAGTTGGCAATAATTATGGCCATCAAGCCTATGAAAGAATGGATATAATGAACATGATGATACATACTGGAATATAGACATGCATGGACCACATCTAGACTCTAGAGAACACACCTGACTAAATAAGACTTATTTCAACTTACAGATATTACACCAATAAGAAAGCAAATGAGGTAGTCTATCTAAAGCTATATAGATCTACAGATGGTCTAAATGAGATGGCATAGTTGATGTCATTGGCTACATATCATGTTTGTAGTTCTTTCTAAGATGAAGGTGGCCTCTATCAATTTCTATGTCTAAATAATGAATGAGGCATCCTATGCCATACACAGAGCTGTGTTGATGATTGGTAGTTACCACTCATCAAATTAAATTAAAATCACATACTTATGAGATACAGTAAATATAGCAAGTCAATAACAGTATATACCACAGTAATGACAATTGATTGAATGCTAGCTACATATGACTGGCATTGTGAGCAATAGTTAACAAGATAGTAAAATCTATTTATAGGTGGATTACTCTGAATTAATTGCTTATCTAAGATACCTCACAGAATTCATATATTCATAGGACTTCATTCTACATCTGTTAAATCATTCATTTGGCAGTGTAATTTACTATCATCCTCAACTGTTTGCATCACACATCATTTGAAATATTTCATGTTTCAAAGAAACATCCCACTAAAGAGTCACCTTCCACATCAGTTGCGCTCAAATGTCATAAATACAAGATAGAAAGTAATGAGACATCATATAACATATGTGACAGTCCTGTCATTTTCTCCAATAATATATGACATTCTATAGGACAATGAAGGCGATGAAATGAAAAATTGGTGACCTCCTAGCCAAATGTATATGATTGAGACATATGTAGAGGAGCTACAAGAGATGCTCAAGCTTGTTAAACATCAGATAGATGATCTTAAGTAGGAACACAAAAAGATGCTTGCAGAACATTAGGATAAGGTAGATGGCTACTGTGACAATATCTCTGATCTAATCTAAAAGACAAGGTTTATTATCAGCAAGCAATGATTGACGTCGTGAGTGACAATGTTGATTAGGAACATGGAAATACTGTTGCACAGAATGAGTGCATTATCTTACTCAAGGATATCATCACTGAACTTGCTTGTAATTGATCTATTAGTGTATGTGTCTATACTAGGTTTCAATTCATAGAGAATAACTATTTCTGATATCTGCTGCTAATGATATGTTACAATGTGTCTTTCATATAATTCTTACAATCTTGTGCTGTTAAATACATCATATTTTGTTTCAGCTTGATGATTTGGCTATGTCCTTTTCCCCTCAGGCCTAATTCATAGTTAACAATAATATATAGTGTTTCTTTGTTCATGCAATTTGATACCTCACATATCTATAATTTACTATTAGACAACACTGCAAAATCATATGTTATACTATCAGATCTCTAATAAGACATTTACTGAGACATGCCAAAAGGCCAACAGTAATCTTGTTATATGATTGTAGTTCACATGTTATACATCATCTAATTGAATGTCTATTAAGTTTTTAAGTTCTCCAATATTGATGGTTAAAAGCATGTCAAATTAGTGTGTAATGCTTGGAAGATTTTTATGGGCTGTAACATCACTTGTAGAATTAATGAGTGATGTATTTTATATGTCTCCTTATATTCTCATTATTTTATCAGATTAGTTGGTAAGTTCAAAATAGAGAGACTATCACACACACACTGTGATCAGCCAGATGTTAGTGATTAATTATCATACCATACCTACAATCCACATCATCATGTTGTGGCCCACAGCCTCAGGATATTCAAATGTTTGCATTTGACAGCTTGTTGACAGATGATGTTAGTTGATGCATTTTGTTTGAAGTTGATTGCTTTCAGAGATTTTATGCTGCTATCAGCCTTTATGGATAAACTTTCAGCATTAGTGATTTCATGATAAAATAGCTGATATCAATATCCACACTGCAAAGAAAGCCAATAATGGTCAAAATATAGAGACTAAATTATATCAGTACAATGTTCCAAAACTCCAATTAGCACTCACCTGTTTGAAATCATAGCTATATTCCCTAGAAAATAATTGTGCTGTTGTAGGATAGAATATGTCACTCACAGAACCAAGAAACAAAGTATTAAATGACTCTCATGTATCGCTATCCATGCCCACATGCACTCATGATATGGATCAAAAGTCAAAGTAGTGCAAGAAATGTCTCATGATCAGAAAGCTCCTGTGAGCATTGTCACCTCACTATTGTGAAGGAAATCTGGAGAAGGTGATGATTATGGCATTCTGCTCTCTCCTTGGGCTGGTCAAAGTGCTAGTCATGAAAGACAATTAGACAAAGCTAGCAAATATGCAAGATTAATAAAGCCATAGCCTAATTGGATTTCTATATATGTGCCAGTAATCATGGCTGTTCCAGTATGTCTAAATGAGTTGAACATGGACAAAACAAACCATTTAGTATGAACCTATGGGTAGAAGTTTATTAAGACTTTATGATTACAAATAAATTAAGATGCAATGAATCTACAAATATGGTCCTTGATAACCTCCATCAGGCGATTCTTCAGATATTCAGAGCACTCCACATACATCCTAGTATCTCTAATTTGACACTCTCTCATTTTCTTGATTTCAGACTCCTTTTCTGCCACCTCTGCTTCCAGTTGATTGATGTCATCATTCATCATATCTATGATCGATTCTTGAGCTTTAACTTTCTCTTTCAATCTGTCAATTCTGTTGTGGCACTGCTCCAACTTAGCTTTATGCCTCTTACACATCATGTTATGTTTAACCTCCATGGAGTGAACATGATCCTTCATATACTCAAGCAGGTGTTGGTTGTAGCAATCATGCATTATCTCTTCATTTGGAGAAACAATGATGTCTTCATTATTCTGAAATGTCATGTCTTAGTTGATCAGAGTGGACATGACTGAATTTATACACACCCTTGACCGTCTTCCATCATCCTCAGAATAGGAATTGCTTCTGAACATAGGAGATAACAGAATATCCTGTGCAGCAAGCATATTGGCAGAAATAATCATGGTAAATGATGATGGTTAAATCTGAAAGAATTGATGTAAAGATTGCGAATGGAGTAGGTGAGAAAAACAACAGGTAGGTTTTACTAGTTTGGATTAGATAAGCTGATTTCTACAGCAGCTATCTTATGGTGCACAAAATACATTTGTGGTGACAAGGAGCAGAGAACATACAACATCCTGGATCCTGGATACTCTTCTGATCATTTTCATAGTTGTCTACGAGTTATTGATGCAATTCTTGGCAATTTGACAGAACAAAGATGACGATCTCACAAAATACAGCATTTGCAACTGGTGATGTCCTTCATTCAAATACGTTATATACAGATACATCAAAAATTGTCAGTATGATACAGATCTATGAGGACATGTCTCATTTTGATGATTTACTTGTATAATCAATCTAAGTCATATGGAACAAAGGTTGTATGATCAGTAGGTAGAACTCTTCGTTATGTGTTGGCTAGTATAATGAATGTATAGGAATGAGAAGGGCTGTCAACGATGAACAGCAACATTATTGATGGCACGAGCTTCCCCTCATTCCATACCTCGCCATATCATTATCACTTGTCATGTCATTTCATCGTTGGATGTTGGATCCTGTCATCTTGCATACTCTCTACTCCTTGTTGCTACTTTGAGCCCGCCCCACTATTGTGATTTCTGGTCCCAGGTCGAAGTGTTTGCATTAGTAGATTATAACATATTTCACCTGAATGCAACCGATTTGTTGTAACAGTGGAACTCGATTGAAATATGCTGAAATAGGATATCAATGTTCTTAACATATCATACAATATTCAGGAAGATTGCAACAGATGCGAAATATTGTATTTGTCTCCACAGCAAGTCTCCTATAGCAAAATATGATGCTGATAAATTTGTCATATTCCACTTGAGCTCAACAGTTTTGGCCATGTCCAGTTTTCCCTGGGCCTCAAGACTCATCACTTGCACTTCTCAATCTGTAATGTAATTTTTGTAAATACTAAATGTAATTTTCAAAGATATTGAACTCAGACATTATTATGTATAGCATACAGATGAAAATACACTGAGAATAGTTCCGCACCTTATATACAAGTATTTAGTTTGCCTTCCAATGGTGAGATCATTTATAACCCACTCAAATTTTGAAATTGCTCTGTTCTGACATAGGTAGTGCATTAGCGACATACACGCAGTACACAGTGTTAACATCATTTATGAATTGCTAAAGGTACACACCAACACAAATATATATCAAACATGTCAATCAGACACATTTTCAGTAATGATGAAAAGACAGAAGGTAGGCAACTACCATTGACATTGAAAGCTCATCAAGGCAAGAAACCTCCAACCATAGTGCTTGCAAGAAACATAACATACACACTGAAATGGGAATGATACACCATCAATGAGGCCTCAGTCATAAACAATTGAAGGCTATAGATGCACGAAACCAAATCCAAGGCAAAGAAGCAATAAGAGCATAGTGCAAGCAACAACAAACCAAAGCCCAAGGAAAATGGGGTAAGTAGAGAATAGGACGACAGGTAAAGGTAGCCACCATCATCGACGGTGAACGCCCATAGAGGCGAGAAACCACCAACCATCACATCCAAATCAAACCAAGATAAGAAAAGCAGATGAGAGAAGGCAAGCATAGGACAACAGATAAAGGTGGCTACCATCATCAATGATGAATGCCACATCCACAAGAACTTCGACAAAGCATGAGCGCCAATCTAGCATAGAGATATCTATCTGTTCACTTACTGTTTCCCAGTGTCCCACTACTTTTCAATGTTAGGAATTCTTCTGTTCCCGTTTCATATCTCAAAGCAATGCCTTTCACGTAATTGGTCAGATTACCACAACAGAATGGTTGAGATGAAATTCCCTCCACACAGCATGCAACCAATGTTTCAAAGCATACATGCTCCTCTGATGGTTAATGAACTTCAGACTATTTTGAGGTTGCCTGTTTTGGCTGATTCAAAACCTTAGTTATTGTGAAGAACAGTCCTGCCATTCTGCGGTAAAATGAACTCGCGGTTGATGCTGGCCTCACCTGAGGCGATCTATTGATGGTATGATCAGCTGTGCTTGTTGAAGTTGGAATGTTCAATTCACCATGTTTTGTGCATGGTTTATTAGTGAAGACATGCCAATGCCACTCAATCGGAAGTACTATGTCAACACTGGCCTGAGATCGGAGAAAGCCAGATTCCTTTCCTATCACCAGAGTTCAGAACATTAAGAGTGTGAACCTCAAGAATGGCACTTTATGATCATCGAGGACATGTCCAAAATATATTGGAGGTGGTAGGTTAGAGCTCAGGGCTTTCACTGGAAGAGGCAGTCTGCCAAATTCACAGAAAGGTTGACAATGATCCTGATTTGTTTGTGATGCTTGTTGTATTATGCATATGTAAGGTTGAGTTCAAGAGCGATTAACGCGATAACACAATGATAATTGCTTCACCTTTTTTTTCGCTTGCACTATACATGCGGAACATGTCTTCTGGGTTAAAAATTATATCTTCATGCTCGGTCTTCATTCCAGACAATCTCTGAATCTTGTATGGTATCAGTAACGAAAATGTATCCCCTCTCCCTCCCTTCGTCAAATTAGCAACTCAAGAACATCCATTGGGGTCGAGCACTCACATGAGTGGAGGAAACACCTGTCGGAAATTCTGTCCCGCTCCGTGTTCAATTGGTGAATGCATCTTGCTAGTCTGTACTTCAGCAGATTTTGCATTCGTTTTCAACTTGCTGAAATTGACAGTGATACATATTTATTATATTCAGCAGAGTTGACGATACTGCCTGGTGACAATAAATCCTAGAGATGTTAAGAGGGCAGGAAACCGTTGAGTAAAAAGAATTGGCCATGCTGATTTGAGGAAGAAAGGGTCTACTCTGAGCTGCTGTAAATGTATCTAGAGGTTTAGTGCACTCCCATTAGCAACTCAGTGCTTCAAACTTCATAAGTAAAGGTGTGCCCGGTAGATATTGAAGCATAATGCAAACACACAGCCAACACCTTACGGTCAAACTTCCATCATCATGTGAACAATATATGATCATGTTCAACTAGCTGCTTTGAGTCGGAGTGAGGTGGCTGACATGAGGATCCACTGGGAGAAGGATGCTTGAATGCATTCAAGGAACTGACCAACACAAAATCTCACCATTAATCTGGTTCAATGATGGCCACAACCTGTGTTGAGCATAGTAAGATGTAAGTTATTAAGACCACTGTCCCTTCAAAGTTGTCCCAAAAGGCAGTGGTAATCAGAGCTCAGCTGCAACCACTGCAGACAGTTGATTATGAGAACTCACTGAGCTTAGTATCATATTATGAGACAATCAACATGTATACCAGCTCATGAGTGCAGAGTTGATGGTGAGATAGATGGTAGCATTGACAGGTCTCTCAGAAATTTCTTTCTGTGAGCTCTCGATTGGCTTAGTTATCATCACCTTTCTTAGACTTAATCTTAGTCATCATCACTGCTTTATGATTTTTCCCCCTCTCCATTTTCACTCATGTTCCTTCATATGGCTTCTACATCATCCTCTGCACTTAAACAAGCATCTTCTCGACCACCACCTGTGTCTCTAGTCATCTCTGATTGCGAGCTTGTGGATGATGGGGTGTCTATTGTGTCATCATGTGTTTGTGCAAGTGTTTTTGGTTTTTAGAGGTCTCTTGCAAGCTTATTTCTTTATGTAATCAATATCCTGCAGCTTCATTGCTGCCTGTTGTTGCTGCAAATCTGTGGTCAATTGTCGAGCATTTTTTGACATCAATTGAGAGCAACTCGCTGACATTGCCTGTGCACATTCTATATGTGTCTTCTGCTGATTATAAGGGTCATATTTGCGACTTGCTAGGTGTGCATGTATGTATGTAATGATGATTGTATTTCAAATGCTATTGTGTTTAAGTTAGTTCACTGTCGGTGACGGTGGCCACCTTCCTTCTTGGTCATGTCCATTTCGCCCCTTTTGCTAGAGGTGAGAAACCACCGGTGGAGGTTGTGGTAAGAAAGAAAGAGAGAAAATTCTCAAGGGCCAATATATTAACCACATATCATGTGACATTCTCATGCCACAGGAATTCTAATCGGAGTTCAATTACAACTCACACAGAACACCAATATGTCTAGCCAGGGTTAGTCAGACTCAATGTTTTGGACTGAAATGTAGTTTTATAATGGTTGTGCGGAAAGGTGCATGATGTTCCTATCACTGTGGTGAATAGCATTGTAAGCTATTATTTGCAATTCTGCCAGTATTGCAATACCTTCCCTTGTGCAATATATTCGCTCCTGCCATTATGATAGGTCACGTATCTGTAGTGATTTTGCAAGGTCAATTGAATGTAGATACCTGTGATGGCAGAATTTCCATTGCAACAGAGAAAATTGCTCACAATTCCTTGATATCGTGAGTGGGATATTTGCATGGGACACAAGCCAATTGTTCCTTAGGCAACACAGGATATATTTACAATGATTAATACAGCTAGTCCTTATCTTGATGCAGCTGGAGAAACATTGCAAACCATTTTTCTGTGTTGATATGGATATTACTCCGGCACAGATATCTAAATTAAATTCAAATTGCAAAAGCATTACAAATACACAACCTTTCATTCAGGAAGTAGCGAATATATTGCGAAAGGGAAAATATTGCAAACAGGAAAATATGCAAATTATGGATAGGTGAAACACTAGGTTGTGGATCACCAACACATCACTTGATCTGTTGGTGCATCGAGCCTTTGCTCAGAAATGTAATCCTGTGCAAATCTAAATCTTGAGCACCTTTATAGGTGTATAACTGTCATTTTCAATGGCATGTTTGATTTTATTTATACTTACTCCATGGTATTCCTGCATCTCCGTACCTCCAAAGACAAATGTGCAGCTTGCTTTGGCGCAGGTAAATAATATACTGCAATTATCATCTAATGTTCATTTATTAAGCTCAATCTATAATTGCACAAATGGTTGTTTCTTGTGTGCCCATTTTCCCTTTGAGGAAGGTCCATAATGTTATCATAAAAATGTCAAATACTGTATCAGGCCTGATGCAATCTGACAATCTGGTTTTGGTATTTGTGAGCATATTAAGTGCACCTAAGGTTCAATGTCCTTACATTTAGTTTGTTTGTATGCCTCCTGCATCTCTTGATAGAACCCTTCACCAACATGAGTCTCATAGTTATCGAGTGTTTCCTTCTGCCTGATATCTGGGATTATATGGGTGGTTAAGTGTTGTTTGAGGAAATTGAATTTTTTATTTTATTGCGAGATGTGCTATTAAATGCTGAAGAATAAGTAAAAATAGAGCCTTGGTGGTAATAAAAGAAATAGTCCATGTACTGAGCAGTAATCATGTAAGCCTTGATATATCCTTGCAGTCATTGGATACATTCGGGAATTTCTCTTGGCTCAACTTAATGGTATAAACATGTCGAAGTGGTATACATTACTTTGTTGTTGAATCACGTGCGATTTCATTGACATTGGTCTGTTTTCACAGTCCATGTGCATGCTTTGTATGTTAGAGATTAGGCTTTTGTTCATGGTTGCCAACTGTTTTTAAAACTGTACTATATTTCCTAGCTATGTCTTTTGGTTTTGTCTTTCATGGTTATCTTTGAAGAAATGTACGATATCCATTTGTTGAGCTGAATATTGGTGATGTTGAGTTTGTCTTACATTTTGTGCCTTGTAGATGTCTTTGGTCATGCACTTTTTATCGCACTAGAAGCATGCAAATACAATTTCATGTTTGCAGATTCATAGATCTTATTTTTAAATGTCTTCAATAGATAGCTGACATTAATACAATGTTTATAATAGTTACTCTGAAATCATACAGTATTTGTAACAACATGCAGGATTTATGATTAGTGCTGCTATATTATCCACTTCTTGCTAGCTATAGAAAGTTATTTGCAGGACGAGTAGCGATCATTGATTTATAGTAGCTTGCAGCAGGTGTATGGGGTAAGTGTTAGCTGATTATAGACCAAATGAGCTAAACATGAATGTAGGAACACATGCCTGGAAAGCCTGTTGTATGAGTCTGCTACAGATATGGATGTTCCTTCTAGATTCATCACTGACATAATCATCCTGTGTCTATAGTAGATGTCTATATAAGCTCTTTAGCAGGTATTCACTAATTCTCAAAGGCTGTCCATCAAGGCTGATAGTATCATGAAATCTCTGAATGCACCCCACCTTCAACCGAGCAGCATGAAAAGACAGCATTCATTAGCAGGCAGTCAAACACGTACATTTCACACCCATGATCATATGAGCAACAACATGATGTTAGGTGTTGTGTACAATCAACCATTGACATTAGGCAGACCCCAGCGTGCATGTGGTATTCCGTCCAGTTTGAACTAAGGCCATTGAAGGGATTTATGTGTATAGTACTGTATGGTAATGCAGAGGTTGGTATAAATGATGATACATCAAAGATAATATTGACTGTAATTGTCTAAGAAGCATGAAAGGACATATATGGTAGATATATTTAAATGAATAAAATTTGAATGTCTAAACATCATGTGATAGCATCTATTCAGTGCTGAAAGGTCTTAATTGTGGACTGTAAAAGATGTATTCTGGCACGGCACTTGTGGATTATTGTTTGTACAAATGTGGGAATGACTACTGAGGACATGGATTACTCTATTTCACTATTAAAATGTTGATCACTCTCTGCTAACTTTCTATTCTAAACAACCATCACATCACACACTTATGTTTCCAGCTCCAAAAGTGACGTTGAGAGAGCCAGGATGTCAATCCTGCATGGCAGAGAATGAGCCATGTCTTGCATATTGTTCAGTATCTGTATGTGTTACGACTTGGATGGTATCTGTTGGCGACGCTCAAACAGAGCTTGTGTCGTCAACGGTCGAGGACGTCCTTGGGCTAGCCCAAGGTTAGGGGTCTTACTTGGCGACGCGTTGGCAAGTAAGATTTAACGCCTATGTCCAAATCGGGTAGCTTATGTCACGCGGATGCGAGACAATAAGCTATATTGGCCTGGGCTTACGACACCCGAAGGTTAATCGTAAGGATCGTCGTTTAATTAGAAGGACGGAAGTCCGACTAGTTAACAGGGGCTTTGCTCGTCGACGAAGTCAATGAGTAAAGGTCGAGACTATTGGCTTATCCGCGATGAGCAGATAAGAAGATAGAATATAGACTGCTGGCGAGGCAGAAAGGATCACTCAGTTTAAGAGTAGGAGGTCAAGAACCAAGTAGATTCAAGTTAGGGAATATGTTACATGGTAGCGAGTTTATATAGAGGATAGGAAGCGTATTAGTGGGTGATAACTCGTACTACCAAGAGAAGCAATCGGTAAAGGGTATGACCATAAAAGGAAAGCACGTTTGAGGTGAGACACGGGTGAATCCTGAACGTGCAGATAAGAAAGTGAGTCAAAGATCAAAATGAGAAGTGAAACACGCAGGGGCACGATCATGCAACTGCGGAGCTAAGTATAAGTTGCATGTGCGACTATGCACTAAGTCAGAGATCAGGAAAGGAAACGGGGCAAAGGGGATGCGTCGTGCATCGTATCATAGGCTACCGTCCTGACAGTAATGGCAAGGGGACTGTCCGCAGGATCAGTCAGGTGGTGGAACGGAGCATGGGTATGCTTTGTCAGCAAAAGGGTCCGGCCAGATGTACTGGCTCTGCTGAAGCGACAAGTAGAGAGCGAAGGGGAATGCGAGGATGACGAGGATGACAAGGGTAAGGTCGGGGTAAGGGTATGATGCGAGGGCTGATACGAGGAGGATTAGGAGAAAAATGGTGGGGGCCCAAGCGTCTAGATGTTCTTGTAACAGTATGCAGCAGATGCACCAACCAGTGTTTGCTATTACTGGGTAAGTTGTCATGGGACCTCTGTGTATTATCTACTAACAATATGTGGCAATGCTAGCACCTCCTCCAAGGCATTGTGGAATCATGTGTGCAATTCATCTATTCAATCCTTGATGCAATTACTGCAGAGAAATGAGATTCATTTGCTGAGGAAGAGCTGGCGAAGCATGCATCACTTGTCAAAAGTGGTGTAGCAATGGTATGTGACTATCTACTTATTCCTGTTTTATGGCACTCAATTATGTATTTATCAGTTCCAAAGGATGAAGAAGAACCAATTGACAATGCATCTTGCACTGAGTCAGAATCGTCTGACTCCTCAGATGGAGAAGAAGACCTTACTGACGATGCATCTGGCACTAAGTCTGAATCAACCAGTTCCATGCATGGCAATGAACAACCCATTCCAAAAGCATCTTACACAGAGTCCGAAAGTTCTAACTCTTCAGATGATGTGATCGTTCTAGATCACAAGCCAGCAGACTGGATTGATAGACCATTTGATAATACCAGAAAGAGATGCAGAGACAATGAATTAATTGTCCTGGAGTACAAGCCTGTTGAATGAATAGATAGGCTACAAGATGAGAGTAAACAGCGGCGGAAGGACTTAGGGTTGAGTTGAGGGAGTTCTGGCAGCATATGTACTAAATGTTGGACATCCAATCAATTTATGTACAATTTTAGAGCATGGCTTTAAAAGCTTGATTAATGTTCCTTCTATGTCATCTGAAACAATGATGAAGAGGGAGTATATGCCAATACATGCTCAGATACAAATTGCACCAAGTAGTAAGATTAGTCTACCCCTGCACTAATTTGCAAATGTGTCAACCTTCAATGGAAGTGCACAGAATGGTAAGTTTTAATTCAAGCTGTCTGACAATACCAAGGATTGGTTTTGTATTGCAGTGAAAAACCCCAGGGCAATCCAGACATACGTGTCTCACAGTGCTACAGAATACATTTGAGACTTTCTGGAGTGAATGAGGTGTGGTCTAATCAACATTGGGGTCACCATAATTCAATGAAAACAATGAAGAAATCATAAATCAAGCATAGGAATTCAGTGTTATTGGCATGTACAGGAATTGTAATGAATATCATTCACGTGATATTTGAGCTTTGATTTTTATCTTGTAATATAACCTTTTGTGATTCTAACATTGTGCTTGCGTTTGACTCCTCCTCACCAGTCTTGACTCCTGTGTGGTGTTTATTTGTGATCATACTTGTCCTTATGCCTGGTCAGAATTTACTGCTCATTTTACTTCATATACAATGCACGTTGATGGGTAATAGTTCTCCATTTTGACCACGACGGGCCACAAATTCAAGATGACTGAACTTTGTAATCTGTTTCAATAAGCTACCAAAGTTGCATAGAACCTTCAATCATCAATATAAATATAAATACCATATTGCATCACACAATCAGACCGTCATAATAGTTGCATATCTGTGATATGATTAAACCCAACTACATGTCCATGACCTCAAGCTGACACATATTGGTTGTCTATGCGTGACACAATTAGTTCCATGATATGACACAGCTTCACAAATACTCATGGTTTCCAAAAATATCAAGAGTTTCTCCTCATCTAGCATTATACATGATGTGCACAACATGCACCCAGATCAACATTTCATCTGTGCTTGAGTCTGACGCAGTCCACGCGACCCTGGTTCCACCAATAGCAAATACATTTTGTCGCTTTTGAAGCCAGAAGCTAAGACAGTTTTTTAGGCCCCACGTGTTCTAAGAAACTGGGGTTGAGTCCATTCACACCTGTAGCATATATGCGTAAAAAATGCTTGGGGATATGACAATGAAGTGTTGAGTGAAGCTGAACTTCATACAGATCAAATGATCCATGGTATTCGTTGTCCAGACCCACTTATTTCCCAAAGATGCATATCCTGCACAACTTGGTGAGTTGTATGAGATAGCAGAGGAGATCATGGATAGTCTATAGGTAGGGAGCTCAAACCTGGCAAGTCACGTTGGGATTGTATATAGGTTATCGATATCATAGAGCTTAATATACTCAAGCCTTGCCATGACCAACAGCCTTTCTGCAGTGAGGAATTGTACACCTTTGAGCGAATAGTCGCCGTCTACAATGTATACCTAATACTGATCTCTATTGTCAGAATACTGAATCAATTATAGTATATAAATGCCTATATGCACATCACCATTGTCCTTCTGCCAATTAATAACTTTCACAAAGGATTGCACAAACTCGTCTGGGCTACCATTCATGTAGAAGGGTGCAGGTCAGTACAGTGATATAGATGTGGCGACACGATCCCCAAAAATGGTGACACTCATATATTCCTTGATTAAATCACTGGGAAAATTATTTTGGCTCGAGATCATACTGGAGTTGTTATATAACAAGGGGTGCACATTATTTGTGGATATAGATTTGAATAACATGTAGAAGAAGCTGTGGGTGTGGCCATTGTGATATGAGATATAGACCCTCAAGTCTTGGGATGCATCGACACATTCTAGGTCCAGAGTTGGGTCAACTGTATGTATATTTCTTGTGGGTGTCATGGTTCTATTGAGATTAATAACATGAGATATCACTTTGGATGGAGATTCAAAGTGCCTATCCCACCTGGTAAGATAAAGGACATTATGGATGATGGATGCAAGGTCAAAATGTAATACAACAGCAAGGTTCTCCATTGTCTAAGGACAGAGTGTAATCCATCCGGCTGCCTTCTCCCTGAGCTTGAGAAGGCACATTGACCATGTCAATTTCAATGGACATAGATGCACCTCTATTAGTCATTGCCGTCCTAACTCAACAAAATACTGTAACTCAGCAGAGCCTTTCACAGTATTGTACCTCACTATACACATCTTTCAACTGCAAGGCATCAGTATCAATATGTCCAATACTCAATGTACAACATACCAACGAACAGGCAAGGATGTCATGGGTATTCAGTAGCCTGATGATCTGACAGCATAACTCCTCTGGGATGTTGTATATGAAACTTGGTCTTTTTGTCATAGTCATTGCTCTAATTATCATCTATGATCAAGAAATAATGAATATTTGCTTTAAAATATCATACAGAGCTTTTATTAATATATGTGTACATGAGGCTTGCATGTTTTGCAATAAATTCAACTCCGATAATGGTGTATAATGGAGTATGTATCACGCCATCCATGTTACTTAAGCATGTTGCTGAGTAAGCCCCCTATATCAATTGATCCAAATGATTTTCCAAGCGGCAAATGAGGTATGTTCAATCTTAAACTGAATATAATAGGCCAGAACCGCACATCACTACACAAGAGCAAACTATTATCAAAGCACTAAAGTGGGAGGAAAATGTCCTAGTAGCCCACTTTATAAAAGTAAACGGTGGAGACACATGAACTCTTAGTGCAAACAAGCAAAGCGAAAAGAAAGAAATTAGGTCAGCTTACATTAAAGAATTTGTGAGCTCGGATACCAAAGAAGATAAAACATATGAAACAACACTATTTGAAAGTGCAAAAGGGTTGCATCCAAAGATGGAGCTGAATGCACATACAAGTATGGTACCACTCTTTTGGTAGTGCAGATGTATCATATCTAAAGCCAGTGCTGGATGGGGACATATTGTGCTCAACTTGATATTTTGATGATTAGAAATCAGCATCAGATTTGAAGGGAGTGCCACTAAAACATGTATATGATGTACTGGTGTAGTAAGGAGGGGTTCGTTAGGTACCAACTATCAGACACAAATGACCATTGGAACTACATAGAGTTCTGATCCACTACTGGATACAATGATGCTCGACAGGTGGTGCATCTATCTTGTATATTTCTATCTCATTGTCAGCATTGTCTGCCGTGGCTGACCTGGCCACACACCTTCCTAATGACAAGGACATAGATGCAATACCTACCAATATGAGTAAATAGTGTTAAAAAATACAAGTGACATACTGGAACAATTACATATATTTGGGTTGACATGCCCAGAGATTGAGCAGTGTATGATCCAAAGAGAACCTAAGCAATCACATAAGAACCAAACTCTCAGTCAGTGAGTATGGACCAATCAATGTTGAAGTTGCCATCCTTCCAGATACATCCAGAGTGAGCCGTAGCAAGACTCAGATGAATGAGAAGGAAAGGACTGATGCCCTTATTATTATGTTTCTTATTTCATGAGGTAAAAAAGGAACTGCTGTTATAGACATAGTCATAGAGAAAGCTAGAGCGATCAAAGACAGCCATGATATAGACAGGGACCATAGCAACAAATTGACCTGTAATCTTGCAGCCTTTGCAACTGGTGTTTGACAATCAAGTCAGCTTACAGATGGCCTTGGTAAACACAAATATGGTGGAGTAATGTTTGTGGTTAGGCTAGTTGTCAACATTATAAAAGAGGTTAGGGATCAACTTGCTGACATATATCCCTACCAAGATGGTGAGCTGATGTAGAGGCATGAACATGTTGAACTTGTCAAATGCCCACTGATAAGTCTAACGTACTACAGAATTCTTTAGTTTGTTTTTGTTCATAGCAATAGAGTTCATGCAGAACTCGTTAGGAGGGATAGTGCGAGATAGAAAGTCAGGCAAACTCTGAAGAGTGATCATGCAAGCTGCCCAAGCAGTGTGTATGTCAGATGCTTGGGTGTATTGAAATGCTTTTTCTGTGTCATTAGTGATCTGAGAGGTAAGGGATATAGCAGAGGGAAGTTGAGCTGCTTTACCAAGGTTGATCCAAGATTCAAAGTAAGGTTTACAAAAATATCAACCTCGACCTCCAGAGAGATACCAGAGAATGTCGTTGATATGGAGATGATTGGTGGCAATGATAGAATCATTTTATAAAAATGAAGTGGCAGTCTCAGGAGAGTGACAAGGGACAAATTTAGACATATAGATGTGTGCTACTTTGAAAACCATAGCTGCAATGGGGACAGGATCAATGACATAAGACATGGGGATAATCTGTTTTGCAAAGTCATGGATAGAAAACTTCTCTTTTGTTGGATTTGGAAGATCAAAGCTATAGTTGGCAAGATTGCCAACAATAGAACAAATAATATATTCAAAGATTTTTTCAATATAACTAAGGGAATGTTTGTATGCCAACCATTTTTTTCAGATTAAAGTGGCGAGTCTTTGCTTCTAGAGTAGAAGAATGGGTGTTCTGGTTATCAAGATTAGCACAGAGCTTAGTGACAGCAGTGGAGACAAGGATCTTGACATCAGCAAGAGATGATTGAAGGGCGACAACAGTAATAATGATGACATGGAAAAGGTCCTGGTCATACTGCATAAATGCTGTAGGATTAGGATCGTAGATAGAGAGTTGAAGGTGAAATTTTGCTTTATACACCTAAGGTTGCAGTAAACATAGCAATGGAATGACATTTATGAGCAAGTCATATTTAAGAAGTGAAAAGACCAAGAATGACTGACCTCAAAATGATTCAAGCCATAATTCAGTATTTGAGTGTGTTTGGAGGTGATCACAGGAAGATTTGAACAACTGATAATGAACCAGTCTGCAGGACTGATAGAGACC